CAGGGAGAGCTATCACCCCCACCATGGAGCTGGAACTCCACCGGGTGCCATCCCCCCAGCAGAAGCCAGCCCACAGAAGTGAGCACATAGCCAGCATCCTGGTCGTCCCCTATGTGCGCCCATCATGGGCGCACCCCTAGAGACAAAGGACCAAGTGGGTTAGCGCTCAAAAGCACCAGGAACCCACCCAACCACTCTGCTGTCCCTGGTCACCTTTAATGAAGCTTGCCCAGTGGGCGAAATCCAGGTATTGATGTCTGGATGGAGAGTGCGGCTGGAGAGGGCATGGGAGTGAAATGAACCTTAAAGACACACCAGGGGTGGGGGCCTTGTCCTTGCAATAATGCCGACACAGCAGCAGATGCAGATGAGTGCAAGGAGAAGCCAAGGTGTCAGGCTGCTATGCCCCCAGCCAAAGCATCCTCCTTTCATTGGGTGGGTGCAAGGGGCCTGCACTGTGGAGGGACTGGTGATCCACACAGATATGCAGTTCCTTCCACAGCCGTTTCTCCATTGTGTTTGCAAAAGATGTTTTACTTTTAGCCCCTCATCCCCTTCCCTGCCCTGCTGTGCAGAGAGCATAGGTAAAGGTAAAGGTAAAGGTTTCCCTTGCTCGAAAGCCAGTTGAATCCGACTCTAGGGATGCGGTGCTCATCTCCGTTTCCAAGCCAAACTGTCCGAAAGACTTCTCCATGGTCACGGAACGCTCCATGGTCACGGAACGTTGTTACCTTCCCACCGAAGCGGTACCTATTTATCTACTTGCAATTTCTTGCTTTCGAACGGCTAGGTTGGCAGGAGCATGGCAGGTGGCAAAAAAGGGGGTTGATAGCCATCTGGACTGGTTGTTTATTGGTGCATTGTAATCATTTTATCATGTTGGTTATATGTTATCTGTTTTAGTGCTGTAAATCACCCAGAGCCTGCTTGAGGGGTTGGGCGATTCAGAAATCTAATAAATGATGATGATGATTATGATAATGATGATACCATCTGGCTGGTCATCCAAAAGGCACATGGCCTTTCTGCCTTCCCAGCTCCTTTGGTCCTGCTTGGCAGTGCATCCGAACACTCATGGGCAAAGTTGCCCCTTATGAGCAGGCAGTGGAAGAGGGTCAGCCTGGAGTGGGGGGCATAATGTGCACAGTGATACCCCCCATGGTGGTGGGAGGCTGTGGCACTGAGGTGCTGTGTGGTGGGTGTCATGGGTGTTACTATCACTTTCCCCCAGCTGTGGGGCCTGGGACCTGCCCCCCACTGTCTTCTACTGACTCATAGGGTGGGGATGCTGTCATGGGGCCATCCTTTGAGGTTGGCAAGGAGAGCCAAGAATGCAACCGTGGCCAGAGTAGCCAGGGACCATGGAGGAGGGTGACTCCACTATTGTCATGCCCTCATCTCCACCATCAGCTTGCTCCTATGACACCCTCGGGACTTCTCACCAAGGGCCCCAGGCCTGCATGTCTCACCAGGAGGCAAAGAGCTGAGCAATAGGGCCAACCTGGCCAGGCACCCAGGCTGGGGGCTGAGGGAGGGGAGGAGTCTCCAGGGGGCAATAGAACTGGCGGCCACCAGGGAGCTTCCATTGGCTGACTGAGATGTTTCTCCCCATGCCTAGGTCCCTGTTCCCTGATGTTTGGAGCTGATGTCATGGACCACCTATGCACCCTGACCCCGAGGAGGTGCACAGCAATGGCAGCCTCTGTGGTTTTGCGGTCACTGAGCACCATGAGGCCCTTGAGCCTGGCGGATGAGTGGGAGGCAGTGCAGAGAGCAAACTCACTGTCCTCCAATGGCAGCAGCCCTGCTCTGCTGGATAGACGGGAGGGGTGGCAGTGGTAGGTCCCCCTGGGCCAGGTGTTGCAGCTGCTGGGTGGCCTGGGGGAGGGGGATCCTGGCCCCTTGCTGGGTCCCTGGGCACGGGGTCCATGGCTGGCACTGCCCATCCCACCCATTCTTTCCTCCATGTTGGCGATTGAGCAGGAGCGGCTGGAGAGCCCTTGTGAGTGGTGGGCAACCTTCACCAGGTGCCAGCAATGGATGGAAAAAGAAGAAGAAGAAGAAGAAGAAGAAGAAGAAGAAGAAGAAGAAGAAGAAGAAGAAGAAGAAGAAGAAGAAGAAGTTGGATTTATACCCCGCCCTTCACTTGGAGTCTCAGAGCGGCTTACAAACTCCTTCCCCTTCCCCTCCCCACAACAGACACCCTGGCAGTGTCTGTGATGGTGGCTACCAGGCACTTGGAGGGGCCTCTCACAGTTGCAAGGGATGTGGGTGTGGGACAGGGGCACATTGGGAGGCTGCTGGGAGAACTCTCGAAGTCTCTCCATGCCCCCCGCAGCATTCCCTGCACCACCAGGCCCCCTCCTGCTTGTCCTCCAGTGCATGTTGCATGGGGGTTTGCATGGGGATACCCTTGACAGTGTAGACACCCCGCTGGACGGCACGGCTGCTGGTAAGCGGAGGGCATGCACACATCCATGTTTGTGTCTGTCATGGCCCATGGGGGACCTGTGTGCTTTATGTGTGGAGCAACAACTTGGGACAAATGGGTGATGGCCAGGGTTCTTGCTAAGGTGTGCTAGGGTGCACTAGCCCATAGATTTCTGGCCCGCAGTGCAGAGATTTTTATTTCAGCACAGGGCAACAGTCTGAGGAGTGGGCAGCCCCGCCCTTCTGCTCAGGCAGCGCCTGCGGGCACTATAAAGGGTGGTGCTGGTGCTTGCTCTCAGCACCCCTCCTTCCTATCACAGCCGAGGATGCACCATCCTCTATCTGGCTAAGCTGCCCACCACCGCCTCCTGCCGCTGTCGTGGCCCTGTGTCCAGCCATCCTTCGAAACATCAGCCAGTGAGTTTCCCCCTTGATAGTCTTGAGCTGGCAACGCAGTCCAGTCTCCCGCTGCCAGCACTGTCGAGGGGGGGGGGCTGTGGGCCCCTTGCTGGGAAGGATGCTGGAGGTCCTGGGGGGGCGGTTAAATCTTTTATTTGTTTATTTTGTTCTGGGTGCCTCTCGCAAAGCTGCTAAGCTATGCTGGCCACCTGACATGGCCCAGCGAGTCCCCAAGTCAAGGAGGTGGAGGACCGAGGTGGGGGGAGAGAAGAGGAGGCATGCGTGCGCTGGTGGTGTATGTGCCTGGAGGCTTCTGCCCAAGGCGCCTCCCCTTGACCCCTACAAGCCACAATCCTAGGCTGGATTCCAAAACAGGCCTTTTTTCCCTCCTCCCCCCTGCCCCGCTTGCTCCATTCAACCCTAGGCCCAGGCCATGCTCCAGAGCTGTTGGGGGGGGGGCGGCGCAGGCCCTTGCTGGGGAAGATGGAGGTCCAGTGTGGGGGGGAGCAGAGCTGGGCTCACAAGCTGGCGGGTGGTTCCTGGGGTGGTTGGGTGGTTTCACCCAGGGCTGCACACGCATGCAAAAACCCTGGGCCCAGGCTGCGCTCCAGAATCGTCGGGGGGGGGGGCTGCAGGCCCCTTGCTGGGGAGGTCTGGGGGGGCCTGGGGGGGTCAGAGCCAGGCTTGTAATTAAGTTTATATTTATTAAGAGCCTAACAGTGCAATTCTATGTAGAGTAACTCCCGTGTTAACCCATTGATTTCAGTGGATTTAGACTGGAGTAACTTTCCATAGGATTGCTTGTCAAACTTTTATTATCCCTTAAATCCATTAGATGTTTTGATATAATTTCACTGGATGTAGGGATAAGACCATAATTTGCCCTCTCCTTGAAGGTTCTATATCTTTATTTTCCTTATGCTGTAAATCAGGGGTCCCCAACCTTTTTGAGCCAGGCTGGGCTGTACCATTTCAGGTTGCCCAAATGTTGCACATTTTCACCAATGGGAAAACCCTCCAATTAGGTAGAAAATTACATCAGAAAACTATATGTCAGAAACCTATACTAGTGGACTCATCTCTCTGTCATGCGACTTTTCTGTGTACAGAGAGTTTTGATTTAAATGACAGAACATATTAACATGTAATTCTCTCCTACCTGTAAAAAGAGTGGTGCTGCCACCCAAGAAAAGGGCTATGACTTGATTTTGTGGTGTATGCTAGATTAGATTATGACAGGAAAGATTATCCCTTGCTTGTCAGTGCTACAAAGCCAACTACAATTACGTAGAACACATTACTTTAATGCTTCCTTTCAAACGCTGCCTTGAACTATTCTAAAACTCACAGATTGAATGCTGAAAAACACGTGTCTGAGGGATGCAAGAACCAAAGAATCTTTCCTGCCCATCATTTAGTAACAGCATTAATATAAAGGTAGTTATATATGCCCTATGCCTTTGTCACTCTGCACACAACCTTTGATCTGCCCTCATGCCCTGATCAAAACCTTGCTCTGAAAAAGAAAATGTGGGCCTCCGTCTGTTTATTTTTCTTCTGTATTTCCCCCCCTCTCCTTCGCCCAAAGTTGTTTTTTGCACCACAGGAATGGTTGTGGCCTGGGCTGCTCCCCACACTGGTATGTCTATGCGCTGATGTGCCCTATGGGTGCAAGGAACCCTATTCAGCAGACTTGATTAAAACATTAGTCTGCTTAGTGGAACATCCTGGACCACGTGCGACTATGGGCATGGCCTCAGAATGCACTGGCCTTCTAATTTTATGAATGACTCTATTCATCCGACCCCTCCCACCTTCCCAAAGCCCCTCCCCTGGAATGTTTGGAAGTGCGCCACCGTTGCTATTGGCCAACGAGGAGGTTCCTATTGGCTCCTAGCCCGGTAGGTGGGAGGGGCCCCGGGGAAATATAAATACAGAAACAACGTAGTTGCTTTATAGGTAGTGAAAGTTGCACAAAAAAGGGGTGTGTGAATGTACTGAGGAGTTTATAGAGGCGAGAAATCATGGGGACGGCTTCGCAGCAGCTCTAAACTCTGGCTATTCTATCCAGAACCCAAGAGAGTTAATTTCGCTGGTTATCCTTTGATTTAATTTTGTCATTTTTATCCGACTTTTTAGCCCTCTTTTACTCTCTCCCTCATGAAACAGTAATGCGGCTGCCTGCCCTGGCCAGCGTTGCTTTCCTGCTATGCCTCTCTCAGGTGAGTATTCGGTAGCTGGCTTTCTCTACTCTGTTTCGGTAAGTGAAGGGTGCTACTGTTGTTCACAATGACCGCGCTCATCAGCCATCCGCCGGCGGAACTCATTGTGGGATTCAATCAAAGGTTGAAGGGCGTTCACAAGTCTTTGGGCTCTGGCTGACCTGGTGTCTTGGCTGTCTGTGCGGGTCAAGGGGACTGGGTTTCTCCCAAAAGTCTGCGCACAGCCCGTATGCACGTGTGCCTACAGTGGGTGCCTCATGTTGGGTCCTTCAGGAAGCCCACTTTCTGGATGTTCCCTGGCATCGGTAAGTGGTCCAGAATTGGGCCAGATTGTAATACTCATCTAAGTCCAGTGGAGTTGTTCCATACCGGAGGAGACCAGGAATAGAACAACCCCACAGAATGTAAGGTGAGGTTTTATTTTTGGATTCCGGGAGTTGCCGCGCTACCAACGCTTTGGACCCAGTGCCTCTGGGGCGGGCGCTTTGATCCTGGCGAAGATTTGATTACTGAGATTTATTCGGGATGGGGGGGGAATGCTAGGACTCCGTGGCATGCAGCGCCATCTAGGAAACTATTTTGGTGTCACCTATTTAAAACAAACTTAATAAAAAAAAGCAGGGGAGGGTCAGTCAATATCCCTCCAGTAGGGACGAAAATGCCCAGGCTAGCCCGATCGATCCCGTCAGATCTCGAAAGCTAAGCAGGGTCGGCCATGGCTAGAATTTGGATGGGAGAGCCCGAACGAATACCAGGGGTGTGTGATGCAGAGACAGGCAATGACAAACCACCTCCAAATATCTCTTGTCTTGGAGGTTGCCATAAGTCAGCTTGCAGAATCAAGGAAAGTGGATCTCCTAGGCAATCCAGAGTAGATGAGGAAGTTTTTTGTCCCCCCTGCAGATGGGAATCTGGACGGACTTGGTTGGTGCTCTGAACTCTTTCTTGCTGCTTGTGGGATAATATTCTCTCAGGCCCAGCAAATGACCCTACTGCCCCATTCTCTCTGCCTCTCCAGGTATCTTGCCGCTGCCCCTCCACATGCCCTTGCCCCCCGGGCCTGCCTCACTGCCGCCCTGGAGTCAGCCTGGTGCTGGATGACTGTGGTTGTTGTCAGGTGTGTGCCCAGCAGCTCAACGAAGACTGTGACAAGCTGGCACCCTGTGATCCCCACAAAGGCCTGCAGTGCAACTTTGGAGCTGACCCCTTGGCGAACAGGGGCATCTGCTGGGGTGAGGGATGCTGTGCGATTGAGGGGGGAAGGGAGGGAAGTATTGAGGGCAAGAAGGGCCTTTGCGGTGACCTTGGCACCCAAGAGCAGCTATAACAGGCTCTACGAATAAGGCAGAATACTGGTGTGGCTTCTGCAATGTTCATCTATTGCTCTGCTGGTTAACTTTTCACCTGGCTAATTTAGTGAGGGTGTATCCAGAGTAGTTGTTCAGTCAACTTTGTAATTCAACCCCTTTACAAGCTTTGTATCTCTTACCTCAAAAACCCTATGATGAGACTATCCTAAATTTAAAAAGATATAGTGCTGGATGAACGACAGGATGTTTTGGAGGTCATTAAAATTAATAGGGTTGCCATAAGTTGGAAGTGACTTGACAGTACTTAGCACAGGTGCACAGAAGAATTGTTTTTGAAATAAGAATCCTAAAAAAGCTTCTTCTTGTGGTACTATAAAGTGGTTTCAGGCACATGCTTGTGTTAGTGATGGTGATGATTAGCTCTAGTAAGGGATTTTGTTTCGCCCTGCACCCTCGCTCCGTGTGGTAGGAAGTGCTTATAAATGGGTTTAACATTTCCTTAGCATCAAGAGCTGCCTTGTATTGTACAGGTGCTGATGTGGTCGCTGAGGTCTTACAGTCTTCCAGTACAAGAGAAAGCAGCACAGTGTACAATATCTAATGACAAAGAAAATCCCTATTTTGTGAACAAGGGTTCAGGGACTGGCGAACAATTTCCTGCT